ATCACCACGGCCACCAGTTCCTTCCCCAGGGCCCCTCCCTCACGGCCCCCCCAGGCGCCCGTCTCAGGATTGTGTTCGTACGTTTGCTTCTATTGGCGCCGTGCTGATGGCCCCGTGGACCGACCCGCTTGCGATATCTTTGCTAACCGGCTGAGGGATTTTGCAGATTGGGTGGAGAACAGAACAGCTTCCCTTGGCATTAACAACATACCAAAATACTATTACCTTGAAAAGTTCACATGCAACTCCACTGCAAACAGCACGATGAAGGCCTGTGCCAACTTTACGTTGGATAGAAGTGCGGATGACTTCATAAAAGCCACAATCAACGGCGACAACAGGACTTTCAATGAGCCCGGTCTGAAAATTCTGGCGAGCTCCCAGTACTTCAATTTGAAGAGCGGCGTTCGCGCCGACGCCTCCGGCAATCCCGTCTGCAGTCCTTCGCAGTTGAGGGTGGAGCAGTTGAAGAAGCCGAACGGAACTTTGGAGATCTGCAACCTGGATAACCTAACTACTCCCTGCACCCCGCGTCCGCCCACCTCATTCCCGTACTGGTACGTACGACAGTTTGTAGTACGACATAAATACATGAAAATCTATGGTTTTTCTATTGATCATTAGTCTTCAGGTTGTGTATGTGCTATTTCGTGTCTTCAAATCTTACGCTTCTGAGTGTATGTATGTATGTATGTATGTATGTATGCATGTATGTATGTGTGCATGTATGTATGTGTGCATGTATGTATGTGTGCATGTGTGTATTTGTTGGCGAGGTGGGGAGTGTTTCTCTTTTCTCGGGTGTCCGCAGGTGGTTCAATACACATGGCCTTGGTGCCTTAATACGTCCTCTTTGCTCTGCGCGTCCTCCGTCCTTTGTGCTGCATTCTTGAGTTCAGTTGAGGCGGTGGCGGCGGAGGCGGCCCGGTTTCAGTCTGCCCCTCGATTAAACCACTAACCACACCTACCTTCCTCCTTGACATCCTCCTCCACTCCGTACCCTCTACCCGCTCCCTTCCCGTCTTTCCCAACAGTAACTGCAAACAGGCCAACATCACCAAGACGCCGTACTCGCTGTCGTACTCCAGAATGTCCCAGGAGATTTCGAAGGGTACGCTGATTTCGAATAACTACTGCTTCAAGATTACCGCGGACCGGTCGCGCTGCGGCAACGCAACTTGCTGCGACATGAACCTCGACAAGATTGAATGGCTCCTCAACTTCCCATGCTTGCGGTCTTTCCAGACGAAAATTACGATTCGACTTTCCGGCAAGCAACCTCGATATATCGATCCTGTTTGGTCTTCAAGTAACGATACCTCGTTCAAACCGTCCAAGATGATGGCCATTCTCAAAACGACCCAGTTGGGGCTGGATGCCAGCAACGCCAACGGTGCTGAGATTTGCCTGAAGCTGCCTTACAAGGCTAACGGTCAGTGCAATACGATGAGGCAGCTCTGCTACGATGGCGCTGGCGCGGGCTGCCGTTATGTTACTTTCGATAAAACGGATACTGGCTGCTGTGCCAAGAGCTTCGTTAACGGCGCTTTTTAAAAAGACATGCTGACCGATAACGGAGCGTCATGTCGCTTTTGTCCTTGAGATTTGTAGTTCCAGTTCTGGATCCAGAAATGGATCTGCAATCGAGTAGGTTAAAAGAGGTAAAGAGGTTTTACGTAGCTCACCTGGGATGTTAGGGTTGTTCCGGTATAAGCGTGTGGGGCGGGAATTAGCAAATGTGGTCGGGTAGTGTTGGGGCTTGTGGTAAATGGCGCTCCGCAGTCCTGTAGTCATGCGTCAGGCTTCCAAGCCATAAAGGTTTTTGATGATTTTTGGATCGCGTTTCCGGGTTCTTCTTCAGACGTTCCAGAGCTAGCTTTGCTGCAACCTCACCCTTCTGCCCAGGCTTCAGAACTTAGGATTATTGCTATTTTTGCTTCGGAATCGCCATGCGCCGAGAGGGTGTATGCATGCGAGGGGGTTCCATCAACTGTTTTTCACCTTCGTTCGCGCGCACGTGCAGGATTAGTTATGTGTGGGTGGGTGGGGGGTGCTGTGTGTGCGTGTGTGTGTATGCTGGGCATCCCCCTTCGGGCGAAGGGGGAAGTCATCTTCTTCGGTTCCCTTTGGTTCTTCCTCTTTGGTTCCCGGAGATCAGCTCCCCCTTTGGGGGATTGCTTCAGGGGATGTTCGCGCAGGAGGAGGTTTAATGTGGAGCTAAACGAAGAGCTTCTGTGCAGGAGGCAATCAATGCCCGCGATAGGGCGTTAGACTTGGAGAGCAGGAGGAGGAGCAGGAGGCGGGGCAAGAAAGGAGTCTGTGGGCCCCATGACCGAAATGGCACGGTGCCGATGCCGTGCTGTATGTCGTGTGCCATGCGCTGGTCTGTACGCCATGAATATGCGCTTGACCATTCCTCTTTTGCAACAGTTTACATCATTCTTTGTTTGCCAATTGCGTGTACAGATAAAGCTTGGTGTTTCGTTTCGGGGAGCGCTCGCTGCGAATGTCGTTCTCCTAATCGCCTCGTTCGAAGATATGCTGTTGCGCTGGCGGCATCTGTGCTTCTCATTCCGCTTATTATCGTGCTTTTTTTAAGTCACGCGCCAAAAAAGCTTGTAGTCGTGCCGATTGGCGGTCTTTTCCTTGTTAGCCACTTTTCTATTGTCTCTTCTCTTCTCTATTTGTCTTTCGGTTTTTTTCTTTTTTCTCCATCTCTGACGCTCGGGGCTTGCTACAGCTGCGCTATTAAATTCCGCTTCAAGTGCAAAATGTGGAGGACTTTGTAGCAGCAGAGTTGAGGGAATGGAAAGGGCTGGAAATTGATTCGGTTTAGTAAGAAGTGTGCTTGATGCTATGAATGAAACTTAGGTTATCCTGTTTTGTCGTGCTGGGGCGCTGATGACCTGTTCTGGCGGATGCGTTGTGATTGGATGTGATGTGGGGCGCTGCCCTCTTCACGACTGTAGCTGTTGCGGTAAAAGCCGAATAGTGGACTCCGCACCGGCATGTGCGGTGGTTGATCTGAGGACCTTACCTAATACGCAGCTACCTTGACAGCACACCGAGCTTTCCGCCGACAGTTATCTGCTCTTAGCTAACTGTCTTCGTTTTTCGGTGATGTAAAGATTCGTTCGGGTTGCGGCGCATGCGTTGACCGCTTGATGAGTGCCTCTCTTTTGCATACAGGAATAGAACAAGGATTTCGTATCATGGTTGAAAGCAGTGAAATGTGTAGGCATTAGGCGTTGTCTGAGGCAGCAATGGGAATTTTAAAAAACGCAGGAGAACGCGGAATTGCCTAGTGCGCATGTGTAATTCGTAGTTCTGATTGGGCGAACAGCTCAGCGCCCTCTCTCTCTCTCGCTCCTTGTTTCCGAGTGTACTTGATGGATGATGGGTGTTATATTGAGAAGAGGGTCTATGACAGAGCGACTGTAATTTTTAGATATTTTTTATGTCCTCCTACACAACATGTAATCATCGGTCAAATGGTTATATTTGCGTCGATGCCGAGCTCGAGCGCAGTACAACCGCAGACGTACACTGCAGAAGGGAATTCCGGGAATGTCTCTCTCCGTATTAAATGGAGAGCTGACTCTACTCCCAGTCGATATTTTCGCCTTCGAATACGTATGAATGCATGAGTGGTTGGAAGGGTTTTTAAGGTGATGCTGAGTCAAAAGAGCGAGGTTGCGAATTGTGTACGGGATACGGCAACAATTGCACGACATGTAATAAATAGCAAGACGATCCTCATCTTGATTTCCACACAGTCATCTTTCGTCCTGCTTCTTAGTGCCGTACTGTGCCACAGAACAGATGCTGGTTAGCGTTCCGATCAGTTCGAGAGCGGAGATCTCGTAGCCGAGATCTCCGTATGTTGACGTCGTATTTTGACCTTCCCACTCACATGACAACGTCTGAAAATCCTTGGACCGAATGTTAAAATGTGTAATGCTATGTCCCTTCAACATCAAACGCCTTTTCCCATGGCACATCTTTTCCCCTGGCTTCCCGGGTTTGGGTCTGTGTGTCAGTGATGCGTATGTACCTTCCCTATGTGTCCGTATGTATGTGTTTCTGTGTGCGTGGATACGTGTTTGTGCCAGGAGCATGTGGAGCATGGGTTACACGCTGAGCACCGCAGGGGCCGTATGTCTATTTTGACTAACTTTTATTTCCTAGCCAGGCCGCTGCGGGCTTTGGGGGGTTGGGGTTGGGATTGGCGTTGGATGTTATTGGGGGAATTTTATTTCCTGATATGTTGTTGTGCTATGTGACTCTAGTCCGATATCTAACGCTACTGAAAAACACTTGTTGACTTAGATGCGACGGAGCGAAGTCTGTGCGAGTTCTGTGCGACTGCATCAAGTTAATCCAAAAACATACCTTATTGACTATGATGAATCAGAAAGGTTGGCCCTTGAAAACCGGACAGGTGAGTTCATATGGACCCCGAAGGAGTAACCAAATGTGTCGTACAACCGTATTTGAATGGCGAGTATGGCTTGCTTCAGCTCGGTAGAGCTTCAGCTTGTAGCTGACAGTTTACCAACCACCTTTCCCCCATGGACTTGCGGTCGTTATTCCCCCCTCCATCCCCCCTTTCTTTTCCCTTCTCCACCGGTCAGTCAGTCCCAGACACCTCCGCACCGGGCTCGCCTAGCGGCGGGCCGGTGGCAAGTGCTTGCTGAGGGCCGGCTGGACAGCAGGCGGGTCGGGAGGTTGAGGGTTGGAGAGGGATTTGCGGTTGCGGTTGCGGTTGCGGTTGCGGTTGCGGTTGCGGTCGCGGTTGCGGTTGCGGTTGCGGTTGGGTTGAGGAGGGATTTGCGGTTGTGGTTGCGGTTGGGTCTTTTAGCCGCTAGGAGTGCGACCTTGAGAGCTCTGGTAGGGTGGTGCTTGTCGCTGTAGGGCTCAATCGGCTTCCTTGCTAGGGTTCAGGAAGTTAGGGTCGCCGTCGCGTGAGTTTGTTCAGGGAACCGTTGGACGTTCTTTGGGTTGGCGTTGTGCGTCGTCTGTCGCGCGCGTGTTGGGGGGCCGCGCGGTGGTTGTGTGGCGGCCGGTGGGCCGCAGTCGCGCGGCCGTGGTTGGCTGGGACTGTGTTCTACTGCAGTGTAAGGGCCCTTGGCAGCTGGTCTCCCCGCTTCCCGTCTCTACCATTCCAAGCACGGCCAGCAAGCATGCACGTCAAGAGTCGGCAGAGCCACGAGAATACGGTGAAGGGAGACAGGAGCACAGAACCAGCCCACACATATGCGGAACGCGCATACGATGCTGAGCACCACGGAGGGTCCACTGCACAGAGACAGTCGCCTGCGGAGTCACATCTCGTACACAAGGCCACGATATACGTCTTGTACTGGCCAAAAAAGAAAGAAATACGTTGAAGATGTCGTTTATTTTTATTAATTATTTCGTGTCGAGGCGTATATTTTAAAAGAAGGCTTCTGCTGGCGATGGACGATACCATGGGTGATTAACTATAAGGTTTTGACTGTACGGCAGCTTTATCGAGTTGTTGGAATGTTGGCTGATGCAGTTCCGAAGGCGGTTCAGGGCGGTCCAGGGGCCCCGTGGTGTGGAGGGTTGGGAGAAGAGGGTTTGGAATTGAGGGGGGGGATGTATCTCGCTGGTACTGCGCTGGAGTGCTGGGTGGGGTCATGTAAGGCCTTTTGGCCGCCCGGTAAGCACGTGCCGGCCATGAAGAATGTGTATGCATGTATGTATGTATATTATCTGTATGTTACTAGAGGTGGGTGTCGCCTAATTTCTCTCTGAGCCGCCACCGCAGGGTACCCACCTGCACTGCATCCCCGACACCACACCATGCCACGCCTTACAGCGTTCCGTACATCCCGAACATTCTGGGAAACCCTAAGACTCTACTTGACTGCACCAATAATCTTATTTTGCAATAGAACCCCCCCGTCCCCCTCGCGGCCATACACAGCCCCAAGGGATGCGGGGTGTTATCCACAACAACACCCCCACTGCATATTTCATCCGTTAAATGAGCAAAAGCCACTACCGACGCCGCTGCCGCTGCTTCTCCCGCCCAGGGGGTTTCCAAGACGCTGCATTGTTCATCATGACAACGCAATGTACGGCAGTGTACAGGTGCAGCAACTTACACAGCTGCAGCAGTGTCAGTAATAGTACCGATACCAGTCGCCGAGGATTGGCAGCAGCAGCAGCAGCAGTCAAAACCCACACAGGCCGCCAACGCTCGCTCGCTTTGATTCCACATCGCCAGCCACGGCAGGTCATCCCCTTGTGTTCGGTTGCGCATGGCATTTCGAAAAACTCCCAACCCTCGTCCCCAATCCCCCCCCCCTCTCACAACAGCTGTACAGCCCAGTGGAACATAACTTTGTTACTGTCAATGCCACCAATCGTCATCCGTACAATATCCCAATGTACGAATCATAAAAAGAATTAGCGTGCGTGCACATATCAGTGTATGTGTGTGTCTGTCTGTTTGTCTGCAAGTGTGCTTCATCTGTCTGTGTGCGTGTGTGTGTGCACATACACGCACACGTGGGAAAACACACGACGGACATCTCCCCCCCTAAACCCCACCCGACGAAATAAGATCGGGTACGAAACCGCCGTACAGGTGATGAGATGGCGCCGCCGGGCGCCAGCGCCTGCGCCACCGACATGGCGGTGATGGTGATGAAGGTGGTGGGTTTGCGCCACGTGCACCCATGCACGTGCATATCTCACATATACAACACGGGTGAGTGTGTATGTATGTATGTATGTCTGTGTGAGCAGTTTTGAGGATCGCGATCCCCTCATCGTTGCCCCCCTAGCCCCCTTCCAGTCCAACTTTCCAACAACTCTCCCAACCATGGTGGTGGTGATGGCACTGCCGCTGCCGCTGCTACTGCTGGTGGTGCTGCTGATGTTGTTGTTGGTGCTGGTGATGTTGGTGGTGGTGCTGCTGATGTTGTTGGTGGTGCTGCTGCTGATGATGAGGAAGTGCGATATTGAGATGCAAACAGCTAGGTAGGTAGGTAGGTAGGTAGGTAGGTAGGTAGGTAGGTAGGTAGGTAGGTAGGTAGGTAGGTGGGCAGCAGCCCGCTAGGCAATGTACAGCGGGTGGTAGAACGCAGCTTGAGAGGGAGGGAGAGAGGTACTGGTGTAGATAGAGGAAGAAATGAGAGATTGACGGCGGCGTCGCCGTGGTCGTTGTGTAGTGGTGTAGTGGTGGTCGGCCCGGCTTCCGTCCTCCGCGGCGGCCGAAGGGGCCCCTCCCTCCTCCCTCCCCCCTCCTCCCTCCCCCCTCCTCCCTCCCCCCTCCTCCTCCCCCCTCCTCCGCACTGCCAAACCACATCAGCAGTCATTCAGCACCAATTTGTACGACAACACCTGCAAGAAAAATACACCACGTGCCCTATCACGTGTGCTTGGAACCGTCTTTCAACCGATTTTATGACATAAATTTGAGCACGGTGAGGATTCCGTTGGCCTTCGTCGCCACCTCCATGTCAGCGTGCCCGTTGAGGGCCTTGATCTTGTCCGTCGTACCCAGCTTTTCGTACAACTCCACGACGGGGTTGACGGCAGGCGGCGCCGCCGCCGCCCCCTCCCGGCCCAGTTGGACAAGCAACATGCTGGCGGTGTACGTCATCACCATCTGGCCGCGTTTTAAGCCGTCCTGGAAAGGATCATAAATGGATTTCATACATTATTTGGGTTTTAGGTTTAGGGCTTAGGGCTCAGGGCTTAGGGTTTTAATCTGCTTAACTGGCTCTTCAAAGCGTGTGTGTGTGTGAGCGAAACCCCGAGACCCTCACCGTAAGGCCCTTGAGCAGCAGATCCAGCCTCGCAGCGGGAGCTGAGGGTTCCATTTGGTTGTGGAGCTCGTCGAGAACGCCCGCGGCAAGCTAGGGTGAGGAATGTGGGGCGGGGAAGGGGGAGCGGGGGGAAAGAATATGAGGCAGGCGGCTGGCAGAAGTTAAGGCTTGACTTCTGCTCCCGGAGGTTTCTGGTTCAAATCCGCCTGCCGATCTCTCGGGTGTGTGAGGGGTGTTGAATTGGGAGGTGGCCCCCCATCTTGTGGACGGTGTAGGACGTGATTATAGCAGTGTGCGAGCTGACCAGGAACTACGTTGTGGCGCCGTTGATCCGCTAGATTTGGTTGGATGCTGGTGGTGAGTTGCTGAACCCAACGAATACATTCTGAAGTTGGATGGGGTGAATGGATTAGGGTGCCCCTCTCGCAGGGGAGAGCCGGGAACTGCCTCCAAGGGAAAGGGGGCCGCTGGTGAAGCTATACCACCCTGTAACAACATACATACATACATACATACACACATACATACATACATACATACATACATACATACATACATACATACATACATACATACATACATACCCCCTCGACGGGGGCTATCTCCCCTGGACTAGCCCAGGGAGGGAGAGGCGGAGGAGGGTAGTAGTCTCAGGAGGCTGTTTGGCGTCTTGTGGTGTGAGCTCTTTGCGCTCTTTTTTGCGTGAGGATTTTTGAGCTTGGTGACCTCCCCAGCCCGGGAAGACTCGTCGGGCTCCCGGTCGCCCAAGTCCTGGTAGCGAGCTCTCTGAGATGCTCGGTTCGTTCGGTCGGCAGGAAGAGCCCCCCAGTTGCGACTTCGTTTATGTTAGGAGACCAACGGGCATAGATCCCGTCTAGTTGGAGCGCCAAACAAGCGCTGTTGCGTGCCGGCCGTCGTTTCCCGTGCGGCCTGACCCGGGGGCGGAGTGCATGAGACTAACCAGCCGTATGCACCCGCCCCCCGCGCTGTGCTTCGGCCCGGGGCCCCCGGCTTTTCAGCCCACAGTGTAATCAACGTCATACATACATACATACATACATACATACATACATACATACATACATACATACATACATACATACATACATACATACATACATACATACATACATACATACATACATACATACATACATACATACATACATACATACATACATACATACATACATACATACATACATACATACATACACTCACCATCCCCTGCACCGTCGCCACCTCCGCGGCCACTACCGGGTCCCAGGCATTAGTCAGCACGTACAGCCCCTCCATTCGAAGCTCCTCATCCGTACCCGCCGTACGGAGAAGAGAGATAACCTCCGTGAAAGCACCTGAGTGCGCGTTGTGTGTGTGTGTGTATTTGTAGTACATGTGGGCGGGGGAAGGGGTGAGGGAAAAATATAGGGGGATGTGGCGGATGTGAGTGCGGGTTTTTCACGGGTTGGCTGTAGCGAGTGTTTTGTCATTGGTGCTACACTCCCTCCCTCTCCTCCCCTTCCTTTTCCACACGTCGTTGGTTCCGGAGGGGAGATCTTCCTCCGGCGGGTTGCCCCTCCGTTTCGTACTGCGGAGGCAACCCCCTCCACACCCGCCCGCCCTCAGCCCATGTGGCCGTGTCAGCTGCTAACTGTCAAAAAATGACACGAAAACACACAACCATACATACATATAGGCAGGCGGCTGGCAGAAGTTAAGGCCTGACTTCTGCTCCCAGTCGATCCAGTCGACCCGGGTTCAAATCTGCCTGCCAGCTCCGCGGGTGTTTGAGGAGTGATGAAATGGGAGGTGACCCCCCATCATATGGACGGTGTAGGACGTGATAATATCAACTTGCGAGCTGACCAGGAACTAAGTTGATGCGCCGTTGATCCGCTAGATTTGGTTGGATGCTGGTGGTGAGTTGCCGAACCCAACGAATACATTCTGAAGTCGGATGGGGTGACGGATTAGGGTGCCCCTCTAGCAGGGGAGAGCAGGGACTGCCCCGGGAAAGGGGGCCGCTGGCGAAGTTAACCACCCTGTAACAACATATATACATACACATACACACATACCCAGAGGCCTATCCCCACCAAAACTTCCTCCCGGGTAAACCCCTCCCCCTTCCCCCCAAACACACACACACAGACACCTTCACCCCTTCAACCCCCCACCACATACACATACATACACACATACATACACACGCACCTGCTTCCAGCAACGCCTGCACCGTGGCGTTGTTACCCCCTGCCACATTGGAAAGAGCAAACAGCGCCTCCATCACCATGTCCCGCCGACCCGCCTCCTTGCCACGACGGAGGTACGACAAGAAGGCGGGCACACCGCCGGCCTCCACCACCTGGCCGCTGTAGTCTAGGGAGCGCATGTATCCCGTACAGAGCGTCCCCACACACAACAAGGAAGGGGTCGCCAAAGGGGAGAACGCCTCCCTGCATATTTGTTTCCCCCGTGTGTGTTTTCCCGTGTTTGGGGGTACATGTAGGAGGGAGGGGGAAGGGGGGGGAAGGTAGGGAAGCGCGCATGTTAAGCGTAAACGTTTTGATTGAGTGCAAGTCCCTACAACATATAATTACGACACGAGAGACCCAAAACCTGGAAAAAAACCTGGAAAAAAACAAACTGAAGACCCAAAATTAGCAAATGATGAGAAGTGAACATAAAATTGCAAATTGAGGGTTTCGATATCATCCAATCCAAATCCCTGAAAAAACGTACATCTGTAAGATAAGAAAATCTAAAAAAAAGTAAAAAACACACACGTGCTTCCCTTCCCCCTCCCATCCCCCCTCCTCCACTTCCCATTCCCCGCCACCTTATCCAAGGCACCAGTCTTGGCAGTGCGGGCAGTGCTTGTCTGAGATGCGACTTGTTGTCCTCGTTGGAGCCCAGGTACGCCAATACCCAGCACAGACATGACAAGACCTCCTTGTCGGTCTCGGGGCGGGAAAGGAGCAGCTCCGTGGCCAGGGGGATGACGTCGACCTGAGTGGGCCGACCGGTCGTACATTGGGGGGGATTTGGGGGAGGGGGGGAGGTGATCATCACCCGCGTCATCACTATCACCCTTTCATCAAATTCGTAACGCCGTCTCTCAAGTTTCCACTCCTTATCTATACTAACCACTTTTTGCGGATGTGAATCGTTCTTACAGTACCCACCACCACCACTTGGTGGCACCGCCCGATGCCTGATCACCAACAGCACCAAATCTTTGATACGAGGCAATGGATAGCACCCACCCCTCCCCCCCTTTTCCCCCCCTCCCCCCCTTTCCCCCCCTCCCCCCCCCCTCACCATTTCCTTCTCCCTCTTGTGTTTGGCCAGGTTGTGCAGACACCAGGCGGCGCAGCGCAGTACGGATGAAGATCCAGATCCGGATCCAAGCGCGGATGCGGATCCAGATTCGGATTTGCAGCCGCCGCTGGCGCTGTTTTCCGCTTCCAGTATCGCAATCACGGCTCCCAGTGCCCCGGAATCCAAAACCTGGAAGACCAAACAAAGTTTGACACACATGAAAAAATGCAAAGGAATTGTACATTTTTAAGAATTCTCTAAAATGCCAAACAACTTATGAAGGGGTGCGGTATTATATAGGGGAAAATTAGGTCAATTTAATCTTTAGCCTTCACATATACACGTGCATGCATACAAACATACATACACGCAAGCTCACACTTGGGCCACAATGATGGTGCGGGGAGCCCCCACATCGGCCCTGACTGTCACTATCATGCCACATACCCGCACCCCTCCGTATTACTTAATGGCCGCCCCAGCACCCACAAACACCACCTCACCCAGCATCGCAACAACCATTGGCATGGCACTCTCATCGCGGCACAGATCTTTGAAACCATCGCACAGCATCAAGGCTCTTCACTTTCGGTTTCTGCAATACCTCTTTATCTAGCACACACGCCTCTAACCTCCTTTCCCCTCCACCCTTCCCCCTCCCCTTCCCCCCCTCCCCCCTACCTCCACCCTCTCCCCTCCCCCCTCCCCTTCCCCCATCCCCCCCATCCTCCTTTCCTTAGCACACACGCGGAATCAGCTCCACTCACCTCGGCTGCCAGGGTTTGTGTCTTATACTCCGGATGGATAGACCCCGAGACGTTGGCCAGGGCCCACAGAGCCCGCTCACGCAGCGCCGGGGCAACCGCCGCCGCTGGTGCAGCCGGCGTCGCAGATGCCGTACCGGCCCCCGCTAC